TGCAAAAGTCAGGCCCTGAAGCCTTGACCTATTTTTGGAGCTGGGCTGGGTTGGGGGTGAGGGACAAGATTTACCCTTCAACATATATCCCTGCTTTTCAAAATAAACACAGTAGATATTTATTGACTCTGCTGAATGGTGGTTGTCCTAAAACTGTCATAAGGAAATACAGTCAGAAGGCAGGTAGACTGGTGGTGATGACTGTGGGTGATGGTGAGTGACTGCTCATAGGCACGGGGTTTCTGTTCAGGGTGACAAAGTGTCCTGGAATTAGACAGTGGTGATGGCTGTGCGACTGTGAATATACTAAAACCCACTGAAAGGTACACTTTAAAAGGGTGAATTCTCTGGTATATGAGTTATATCTCAATTAAAAATAGTAATTAAAAATAGAAATGTAGAACCAAACACACAAAAAAGAGCATGGGGTGCGTCCCAGCTCTCCCCCCACCCCCATCACTGGCTGGGCGATCTGGGGCACTCACGTCACCCCTCTGAACCCATTTCTTAATCCGAACAACTGAGATAATAGGACAGGCCTCACAGGGCTGCTGTGATAACTAAGTGGTCCCTGGAGGTGGGACCTGCACAGGGTAGGTGCTCACTAAATGTCATAAAGGAGGAAGGCTGGGTTCAGGCTTCACAGAAGGCACCACTATGTGGGAGGACAAATGAGCTTTTGTGGGAGCATGAGTGCAGCGTAAGTACTGACAAAAACAATAGGCAGCGCCATCCAACATTCATTGAGCACCTTCTCTGGGTAGGATGTCTCTAAAGCCTTCCAGCAGCCAGGGAGGAGTACAAAGGGTTCTAGCTCTTCTCTTACCTCTGATGTTTCCATCTGTTTTCAGGCCACTGTGACAACCTGGGCCCAGTTGTCACCAAGAACCAGTTGGTCCAATAGCTGTTTCTTGTTTCAGAGAGGATCCCTATCAGCTCTGTTTTACATACATAGTTCTACCATGGTGCTTGTGAGGCTTACCTCCACTAATTTCCCCACTGAGATGTTGGAAAACTCCTTGATGACTTCCTTTGTCGGTAAAAGGCAGACCGTCCCTTGGCTGTTATATCCAACTCCGCTGACCTGCAGGGCAAAGGGACAGGAAAGATGTCATCAAGTGTCAAAAATACGNGGTTCGATTCCCACATGGGCCAAGGAGCTGTGCCCTCCACAACTAGATTGAAGACAACTACTTGACTTGGAGCTGATGGGTCCTGGAAAAACACACTGTTCCTCAATAAAATTGCTTTAAAAAAAAAAAGGGAAAAAAAATAGTCAGCTAAATCCCTACTCAGGATTGGACTTTGGCATTAACAGTTTGGTATATATATATATATAGTTTGGTATATCTTCCTCTAGTCACTTGTAACATGTGTACACATGTGTCAATGCACGTGTGTGTACATGTGAGTTCACTGTTCACATCATTTGTGGAGGACCCTTCTTCAGGAATGAAGGATTGTTCCCCCATTTTGACAGTTAAGCGAGCTCATATGTGTAAAGAACTTAGCACAGGCTGTGAAGAAAGGACCCCCAAGTTAGCGATGGGGGGTCAGTGTCCTCAGTAGAGCACACAATTGCCAGAATAGTAATTACTCAATGAGTATGTTATAGGCCTGTGAGTCTCACACTTGAGTGTGCATTAGAACCGCGCAAACACAGATTACTGGCTCTCACCCTGGAGTTTCCGATTCAGAAATTCTGGGGTGGGGCCTGAGAATCTGCATTTCTAACAACTTCCCAGGTAATGCTGATGATGTACTTGGTCCAGAAGCACCCCATCCTTGCAGAACTAGTGATTCAGATGAAAATCTCAGAAGACCAAAAGATAGTCAAAGGTTTAATTGTTATGAACTGTTTTTTTCATGTTATTTGGAACCTCATAGAAGTAGCTAGAAACTTTAAATGCTTCTCCTTGATGTCTGCATTTTGCTTTGTTTTTTAGGGGTGGGGGAAGTGGAAAGGGGCAGACAGGTGAACTCACCTCATTCTTGCGGCTGCATTTTACCGCCATCCACTTCTGCTCCGAACTGAATGGGATCTCTTTTTTCCTCACATATGAATCTTTAATATCACTTAGGTCCATCTAGGATAGGAAAATGGGACACTTTCAGTGAGCCATCCTAAACCAATCTCAATGCAAAGCTCAGCCCATTTAAATTATTCACTATTCAAATCATCTCGGGCAGATGAGAAATCCAAGTGTTTAGCTCACAGAGAAAGGCCATTTGCTTTCAAATGTCCCAACCAGAAAAAAAGGTCTCTTTTTCCTTGTTCCAGAGGCAGAGCGAGATGGCCTTTGTAACAGCTTCTAGCTGAAACCTGCTCAGAAACAGAAGCCTGGAGTGGTTCTGCCAGGAGGAATGTTTCAGACTGGAAGTAGCAATTTCCTGAAAAGGAACCCGGGGTTAGCGGGGTGGTCTGCTGTAAGCCCCTGAGGTCCCTGCCAGGAATGACATTCATTTGCTTTTGGATGGCTTTCAGACCAGTTACTTGACAGCTCTGAGCCTCAGTTTCCCCAACTGTAAACCAGCTCTAACCTGTGCACTCCAAGGGGTGAAAATAGGTCCTTAGGGGACAAAAAAACTCCTTTTATGTAAGTATAAAGCAT